GTATCTCAAAAGGCATAAGGCCTCCGGCCCAGACAGGCTGTCCCCATCGGCTCCTAAGCATGGAGGCTCAGCGTTAGTCTCGGAGTTAACAAAACTCCTGGGCTCAGTGTGGGAGAGAGAACAGGTTCCAACTGAAAGACGTGAATCGGTCATCATACCGATTTACAAGAAAGGTGACAGATCCTGTTGTGAAAATCATAGAGGAATTAGTTTATTCAACATTGCTTCTGAACTTCTCGCTGGGATCATACTCCGTCGATTGTCTGCCGCTCGTGAAAAGTGCACACTTGAGAACCAGGCTGGTTTTAGACCTGGTCGAGGTTGTATCGATCACATCTTTACTCTTCGCCAAATTCTGGAGCACTGACATTCTGTTCGTAGACCCATCATCCCTGTCTTCCTGGATCTGCAAGCGGCCTTCGACTCAATCGGCCGCTCTAAACTCAGGCGCTGTCTTTTCCTGAGAGGTGTGCCCGAGAAATTTATTTCAATATTACGACCCCTTTATAGCGACCTACGCTGCCGCGTGTGGATGCATAATCCGAGACGACTTAAGGGTGGCGTTCATTGGGAGCAGGAGCTGCCAACCTTCGCTGAGCGTTTAAGCATCAATGCGCTGGTTGTTGACAGCGATGTAATCTAACGGCAGGGCTCTAGGTCTCAGTGGAACCCACGTCAATTGCAAAAAGACCATAAGCCATGATTTTGGGACACCAAAAAAGTTTAAGTGAAACTTCGATTATTGATTCGGTGGGGTTCTCAACCGGATAGTGAAACTGGGGTCTTGGGTGCAACACACATCATTGGTTAGGATCTCGAGTATACAAGCTGAACAGGCCTGCTGTCCTCTGCGCATCAAGATTTGCACGTTTGAAGGCGCATTGTGGACGAAGGAGAGTATCTGCCGGCGGATGCAAGCTAATCGAGACTAAGATACTTGATGAAGGAGAATGCTATAGTCTCGGAAAGATCTCCGGTTGACAAAAGCTACCATCGGATGTAAAAATGGGTTAAGGTGGAAGAAACACTAAGATGTGTGTGGTTTTAGGTTGTTTTCAATCGCGAAATAGTCTATGAACGATAGGCAACTGAACGAGACACGAGATAAGCCACGATTAAACATTTCCTACCTTCAATGGCCCCACATCATTGAAAGGCAAGGGGCAAGTTCCCGTAATCACGTGTTCTTATTGTTAACCAGTAAGTTGGCTTCCGAAAGCCCCAGTATAGGTGGGAGTGAATGTCTAGGGTTGCGGCTGGTCACCCCCTTCCCTTATAACTCACCAAATACCCCCATACAACCAAGCGTCTCGAATAGCTTCTGCTGAGAAAGCCCTACTCATTGCCTTTTCGTGGCGGAGGTATTTTGCAACCTAAGTGAGAGGACGAAAAGGAAATGTCTGGGGCTGTAGTCCGATCGGTGAACCACTGGCAGTTCGCTCAGGGGAATTGGCTAAAATCCCTAAATTCAAACCAACCATGAGGAGGCGAACGAACCATACACAACCTCCTGATTGTGGCAGTGGTCACCGGCTAGATTGGGTATCGAGATGCTTTGGGCACCTTAGATGTTTCACCCCGTCCGAAGGGCTTATGAGCCGATGACCTGGATAGTGGCCCCCAAGTAATTGAGATTTGCACACACCGCCCCGCTGTCTTGCGGATCAGGCTTTGGCTAGCCGAAGGTTCCGGCTGCGGATTCGTCAAGAAAATTCACCTTCCTGGGTAACTTAGCAGTTTAACGTGCACGAGCAAATCATGGACCTTTTCCTCTTTATAAAGATTAGTGTAAAGTGATTTGTTTCGTCTGTGGGCAGAAGTTGCCTTCCCCTGGGATGAATTCTTGCGCAACGTCGCTAGTTAGGATTTTACTGTTTCATTCTCGAAAGTGACGGTAGTCAATCGAGGGTATCGGACACATTGTAGAAGGTATGGAAGCCGCTATCCGACTCTTTCACTTGCAGCGCCACACCTCATGGCATTGGATTCGGATGCTTCAGACGTAGTGGTGGAAACGCGTCCTGCATGCCTTAATGCCGGTATTCCCTATTTTGCTTTTCTGGTGGCACTGATATGCTTGTGCAGGAGCTTTGGATTGGAAATAAATTTATGTGCAAGGGTTTCTCGAAACCTCCGTTCATCCTCTCGCAGTAATTAGACTGCAGGCGTCACTCTTTCAGCCCCAGAGCTGGTAGTACCTGGAACTCTATTCCACTTTCAGTTGTTTCTGGTCCAACCATCGATTCATTCAAGTCACAGTTCAATTAAACATTGAAGCACCTAACTATTCGGCATCCGTAAGAGAACATTATAAGATGCTTTATTTATAACAAGGGCTTATCCACGCGGTAGCGAATGAAACTAAATGGAAACTTTGTTTACTGGAATAAATTGTATTCTCAAAATTTTCGCTGACGGAAGTCGAATCNGGGGGAGGGGGGGGGGCAGGAAGACAAAATCTGGTCGGAGTTTTGACCTTCGAACTTGCGCAGTCACCTTTTCTAACTTTGTCGGTAGCAGAGATACAAATACACACAAACTTCTCAAGCGTCCACTAGTTTTCAGTGAAGACCCTCTCATAATAACAATAACCATAGTAATAATAATAATAATATTTTTTACTTTCTTTTTCGTTTATTAGTAACATGAATGCACAATAATCTTTCAGGAAAAGAGCAGCAGCAGTCAATCAAAGGAAATCTAGGGCAAATAAAGAAATCTGGAGGGTAGGCGACAGCGGGATTCGAACTTAGGATCTCCAAGTGGCGGCTTACACGCCCTTAACCACATAATCACAGAAATAGGAACGTTAAGTGCTTTCATGATAATGCCCAATTTACGGAAGCACCATACAATCACCATACAATCAGGATGCAACGCGCGCTGAACCAAGACGTGGGCCATTTTGCACAGGTCATAACGGCAACTGGAGTATCAGGATACAGGAAGAATTACGCATTCCACGTCGGAATCAAGAATAACCGAGCGGGAAAAATAGTTATGTAGAGATCGTACCAAGTATTAGGCGACCGACAGCCCGTTCCCTAAAAGTTCCTTACAACGTTCCTCTATGCATTCATGATTTTGGCAATTACAATCTTACAATAACTTCTACGGGAATTTTCCCGTTCGATGTTTCAACAAACAGAGAAAACGAAAGCATCAGCTTCTTTCCGAGTCACAGTACATGGTTTCTACTTTTGTTCTATGCTGTCAACTATTCAACCTTCGGATAGTGTTTTGGTGTCTAGTACGTCATCCAGCATGTAAATGTTAGGTGAAGAGCACACACGTGCCGTGAGCAATCACATAGAATACGACACGAAGAGACAAACATGGTTTTCTTAGAACAGACAAAATTTACGGGATTTAANAAAAGCATTTGAGTTCAGGCAATCAATCTACCGAGTACTACCATCCGTTATTCATTTTTCTGATTACCTTTGAATCCCTCTATGCGGAGGAGGAGAAAACGCTCTCGCTATAATTCTAGCGCAGATGTACTAACAGCTCACCTGTAATCTCCGGTAGACTTGCGCTCAAGTAAGTTTGCTGCATTGGGGTTGGTAATCGATACTTTGATTAGTTCACAGCCAAGAGCATAGTCTCTGAAAGATGGACAGTGGGAAAAAGAGAGAAGTTAACATACGCGCCCAGGAAAGACAAATTATGAATTACAGATATTCTGNGAATAGAAAAGACATATAGAACAGGACTGAAAAAAAGAAAAGAAACAAATGCTGATGTGAAATCAAATCAAATCAATCAAAGCATTTGAGTTTCTTTTCTGGCATTTAGGAATCATAACAGTCTATGAAAGTCGACCAGTTGTTAAAGAGGGCGACTGTGATTACCTAACCTCAGCATTACTTGTTGGTTGCCCACCAGATTTGTGCAATGCTGCGCAGACAACGGTGTTCAAACGCCGACAGTCTATTATCCTGTTTTCTTAATGGCCAAGTCTCTTAAAACGTGTGTATCGGAACAAGGAGAACTGCCGCTACATACACTCGACCCTTGACTGACAGTCGAATGTCGCGACGGCGCCACAGATGTCTCAAGTTGGCAAATGCCAACCGAGACTTCTGTATGCGAGCTGACACCTCATCCGTGATGCATTCACTGGGTGAGATATAGCTGCCCAAATAACAAAACTTGTCCACTTGGTCTATCGCTCCCTCAGTTAGAGCGAATCTAGGTGCTGGACCAAGCCATTATGGTAGGAACATTTTACACTTTGAAGGTACAAAACGTATACCGAACCTGCCTACACTGCCACTCGAGCTATCCAGAAAAGTTTGCAACTTATTGTTAGGTAAAAAGACTATTTTTTACCTAAACCTATCTATTTTTCGAGTATTTTCAAACGTTTTCTTTAAACAAATTAATTTTTCCGCCCTTTTCGGCCCTAATCGTCCACCCCTAGTTGGCATTCGCTGATCGGTCACCACACACCACAAACAGATCACATTTTTGGTCGCTGTTGTAAACTGTGGGGAATGAAACCAAGCAACAACATGATTCAATAACAGCACGTACTTTGGACCCCGCAATTCAATAAGCAGTTGATTATCCGGTTCATTGTTCGGCATATTGATTTGAAAACAGGGATTCTTATCATACTTCTCGGGATTATTGCGACAACCTCCGGCGCTTTCTCCTTTCCACTGACCGGTGAGCTAAGAATAAACAAAAACCGTGAGATTCGGGAGCCGCTATTAGCGTAAAGTGCGCAGATTGGATTTGAGTTAACGTTCCAACAAAAATATGTGAAGATCTATGACCAAAATGCCAGGCACTAAAACACTACTTGCTTAGAGATGAGGACTAAAGTCAAAACCTGTTATTATGAGTGACATGCAGTTAAAAACAAGCGAGAGCGGTTGACCGAGCCGGTCGACTTTGACAGTACATTATTGGGTGTTCAATATCCGTCTCCTTCCTCGTTCACCTTGATCATCTAGCACCCAACGTTTCTTCGTGATATCTAGCAAACAAACACATTCACACAATTACAGCAAAATCAGAACAACTCAAAATGTCAGACAGGTTTACCACATTTGGATGAATAGCTCCTGATCGCACTTGATTTCACTGGAAGATTCAACGAAACCAACAAAAACGAGCCTTGAGTTTTGCTGTTTCGAATGTAGCCAGACCGAACCCATTTCACGATACCAT